GGAGGGGTCATTATCAGCTTAATCCCATTTGCATGGCCTAAAGATTTTCAGATGCTGGTTTGCTTCTAATAGTTTCCATCCTGACTGATTAAAGGTTCCTTTTGAAATAATTCGTTTTAAGAGTCTTTACTTTCTCAAGTTAGGAGAGGAGCCATTTTTTTGAACAGTTTGTATCCTTCTATCAGTATGGTCCAGTTATGTGTTTTATTTTACCAAGTTTCTGTTATTCCAACTATATCATATCTAACTTCATGTATTAATAGTTCAAGTTCACCCTGTTTATTCCCCAGACTTTGTTCATTTGTATATAGGCACTTGAGATCTTTATGTCTGACTCTGGGTATGCTTCCTATGTCTCCTATTTGATGTTTGAATTTGTCTTCTTTCCCATCCCTCCTTACTTCATTATTTGACTTGCTTTCTAAGGGGTGTTGCTTGGAATTAGGTCCTGGAGATCCTAAAGATTGGTCACCCCCCACCCTCAATTTTAGTTTAAAGCCCTCCTGATAAATTGAGCCAGTCGTTTTCTGAAAACATTCTTCCAGTCATTGTGAGGTGCAGCCCATCCCTTGCCAAAAGCTCATCATGGACTTATGCACAGACCATGGTCCAAGAATCCAAAGTTTTTTTTGGTGACACCAACTCTTTAGCCAGTGGTTCATTTCTAGAATTCTTTGTTCTTTTACCAGAAGTTGACCTTTCGTTGGCAGTGTAGATGAAAAAACTACATGTGCACCTAAGTCCTTCACTTTCTTGCCTAGCTTCTTGTAATCACCCAATATTGTTTTCAAGTCCTTTTTTGTGTCATTCATCCCTCTACAGGTAGTAGTAGAAAAGGATAGTAATATTGTGATTGTATTATTTTGGTTAGGTTCTCAGCCACATCTTTGATTTTTGATCCAGGAAGACAATATACCTATCTGGATTGACTGCCTGGTCTACAGACGGCTGGTTCTGTTCCCTTAAAAAATGACTATCCTATCACCAATACTCTCCTTTTTTTTCCTAGGAAGGTTTGGGGTATTTTTCTATCTATCACAGAAGCATTTGATGGTGCTACTTTTTTAGGGACATTTAATGATTTTTTTCTTTTCTATGAGTCTGAATGGTTTCTTCTAGGGAGAGATAATTTTGATGCTGAAGTCTCTTTGACTTTCTCCCAGCTCAAGCAGATTCTTCTTGTCCTCTTCCACAGAACCCACAGCATTTTTACCTGTCACTCTGGCTCTTTACCTCAGTAGGTCTACCACTGCTGGTCGTCGGTTGCCTAGGTAACAGCTTCCTCTCCCACAGTCCTGACACATCTGTTTAGGGATTCTATTACCAGCTCCAGCTTCTTACCAGCCATATCCAATGTGGTGTTTTGCAGAAGGTATTTGGGGTGCAGACATTACCAGCAGTGGATTACAATGTCAGTAGTATCTTGAATGGCTAGGCAGAGAGAACTGCAATACTTTTCCTAGTGCAAGAGAAATTGACTTCCTTATCTCTGCTTACTCCATGAGATCATCAGTTATTAAAATATATATAATGGTAAACAATGCAAATATATTTGGCAAACCATAGGAGTGAAACTTTTTGGTATTATATGGCAACTACAGCATGATTATTTTGAAATGTAATTTGTATTGATTAATCCAGGAGGTTAAGAAATCAATTTAATAGGACATATTTTACATTTTCTATATTTACATTTTTATATATTTCTACATCACGAAGCAAAGCATATGATGTTTTGCCTTTTTTGAAAAAATAACTGTGTGCTGCCCTTCCATTTCTTTCCTCTGGCTAATTTTTAAATAGAGAAATAAAATGCAGAACATGCTGATGTGAAGTTGCAATGGCAAAACAGGAAATTTCATTGGTTTACAGTGATAAAGAAACATCTCCAAATAGTAGAGGAATGTGGGTTGAAATAACTAGTCAGCAATATTTTACCTATTTTACTAATAAAAATTCTTAATCCCATAAAAATTGACCGTGACAGAGAAACATGATGTCAGGAGGTTTTCTCCGTAAGCAAGCTTTCTTCTTAAAGCCATTCTTGCCTTCTTCAGTTCTCAGGCCATCCTGAGTGTGTTTAATTAGAGAATAAGCTTATTCTATAGAGTAATGTTTTTCAACCTTAGCAAAAGATATGTGGACTCCAACCACTTGAACTGGCCAGCCATGCCAGGAAGAATTCTGCACACCTTAAAATTGCTAGTGTTGAGTAACATTGTATAGAGGATACTTCAATCTGTAAAGACTGCATGAATCATATTCCAGTAATGCGAATTAACAGTAATTCCACAAATTATATCCCAAGATTCTGAGAAGAAATTGTGAAGAAGTACTTTATTAAATTCCAGCACTGCATTAATAAATTTAAAAATACCATTGCATCTATAATAGAATATTAGTGATTAATTATATCAGCAATCTCTTTCCTTTGCTCAAATACATCCTCTCCTTTAAATAATGAGCAAGTTCTTTCTCTGCCTGCTGTGGGTTCATTTTAATTTTTCTGCAAGGATCTCTCCTGTGGTCTCCTTTGATTTAAGAGGGTTTAACAAACTGAGTATTGTATACTAAAATTTCCTACCATGTTTTTTAAAAAAACAAATAATGGAAATAATGCTTAGCAAACTTCTAAATCTTGTGGTTATCATTTTTACATACTGGAAGCTGTAAGGATTTTTTTAAAAAAATATTTGGAATTATGCAGATAAGTTCCCCACTCTATATAGAAAAGATGCTGGTCTTCTACAAATTACAAATGTGTGTATGTGTGCTGGTAATTAAAAATAAAATGCAGTGATGTGTAACAGAGTAGAGGAAAAATGGATACTTGGCACTGGACTAATTTAAATTTTAATCAAGTATATTTGCAGCATCTACAAGAGATTTTGCCAGGGGCAGAATGATGAAAGCATTGTGATGCAAGCCCCACCTCCTTTGGGCATACATTTTGACATCATATAGGATAGCTATTACACACCAGTGGTGCAAAATATGAACCAATTTTCTATTCTCCAAATGTAGACTTCAATCAACAATAATAGCAGTGAGGAAGAGATTTGAACATTGTTTGAGGTTGCCTTCTTCTCATCTAAAAAGAACTAGGATTGGTAGATAATTTGAAGTTTAATCCGAAGACTAGTTGAAGGAGACTAACTGAAGTATAATTCATTCCAACAGAACTTGATGAGTGTGATTATGAATGAGACATAATGATCCCAGTTGAGACAACCAGGCTCCAACTTTTTTCCTTGGGAGAAAGCAGACACCCAAAGGTGTCCTATTCCTCTCTTTTGAGGAAGGAGGAAGAGTGGTGAATTTGCAACCTTATGCAAATTGTGAATAAATATGTGAATAATTCCAAATATCTGAATAATTCTAAATCTGATAAGGTAGTAAGATTTATTCACAAAGTGTCTCTAAAACCATGGAAATCACAATTTTAAAACTCTGTTAACCTCAGTAAACAGAGCAGGAGTTTATAATCTTTTTATACATTGATAACTTTATAATATTGTATGTATCATTTAACTGGATCATTGTATATCTGAAGCACCTTTATCTACCCAGAATAGTGGGCAATAAGTCTCCTTGCAGAAGGGGAAAGAAAGCTGAAAAATGAAGGCTGGGCTCAGTTGCTTTGAAATAGGCAGAGAAGGGCCGGAATGCTTTCCTTCTGAAATAGAACAGAGAATAAATGAAAATGGCATTGATGGCTGGCTGTAATCCTTTGCAAGAATATTCCACCTTGCAAGTCTTACTTAAGGACATGCAACAGGAGAATCCAGAGGGGCAGATATGATTGTCACAAAACTGGACAAAACTGTATTCATTTGCAGTGCATAGGACAAGATGCAGGGCTTCAATTGCATAGACCCAGCAGTTGTAATTTTCTTGAAATCCACCTCTGCAGACCCATGGTGCAGAAATAAAAGTTACAATAAAATTATCATTCTCTTTTATTCATGTTAAATGAATAAAAATGTCCAGTTGTTATTCTATTATTGTTTTTGGGAACTAGGATTGGTTTGTTATAAAGCTAATGGGGTCTAGTCAATTAACAGCTGTCAAAGGTTTAGTGTGTTCTCTCTAGCAGCTCATGTGCTTTTTATTTTCCCCACAGCCATTGGAAGGACCCTCATCCCTCGTTATTTTAGTACTGTCTTTGAAGGAGGAGTGACAGACCTGTATTACATCCTCAAGCACTCAAAAGAATCCTATCACAGCTCCTCCATCACAGTGGATTGTGATCAATGCACCATGATCAGCCAGCATGGAAAACCTATGTTCACAAAGGTAATAAGAAAGGGTGATATGAAACATACAAATAATGGGTGTTCAAGATACTTTTCAGTGTATCACAAATGTTTTCTCCTGACGGTTGATGAATATCTTGGTTTATTAAATATCAGTATTCTTTTTTAAGGGACATAACTAGATTGTTAGTCATAAGCAAGAAACTGGGAAAAAGAACTACTATTAATTTTAATATATTTAGTTTAAGAGTGTGAAAACGAGACTGCCAGATCTAGACACAAGCCCAGAGGATATTTCAATTTGTTTAGCAAGGGGACAGTCATACTACTGTTCCATTAAACATGAGCTTGACATATGAGTCATGCAAAGACTCAATTATATAGAGACCAAGTTTGCACCATTCAAACACAACATTCAAACACAAACATGCACATCTCATATATCGTATTAATTTGGAGGTGATCTGTCCCTATCCTCTATCCAGAAGACATTCTGGAACTATGTTAGATTATGATAGCCAAAAACAGAGTCTGGCAGCACCAGAAGAGCTACTTAATTTGAAGAAAGTAAAGCTAGGGAAGAATTCGTGCTGAATGTTTGAACATGCACTTGAATGGAATGGAAAAACTCTTTGTGCCTAGGTATTGAGGGAGCTGGACAGATTCCAACAATCCCAGATGCCATGACAAATGATCAGACATCATCATCCTCAACAGCAACATCATCACTGTATTTGAGTGCCCTCAAGTCATTATAGTCCCCAGTTCCTTAAAAACTGAACAAAATGACATAAAGCATAAAAAAACCAACTTTAATTTAACACTCATGCTAAACGAAGAAAAGGTAATAATTAATTTTTTACTCTACAGCCCTCATAACACTAGAGCTCAAAATAACTTTAAAATCAAATCAAAAGTAGCATTAATAATAAAAATTATTAATTTTTTAATTTTGTTTATAAAAAAAATATAAAATGACTGGTGAAGGATCACTTCCCAACTATATTTAATACTTTCTGGAAGTCAATTACCAATGCACCTATTCTACCTTCTAGAGGTAGGTGTTCCCCAAAAAGTAGTTGATAAGCAATGCTTTATTGTCACAGTTCCTCTATCTTACAAAAATGAGATTGGTAGACACTGCAAATATCTTGGTGTCAAGCCTTCTGGATAAAGAAGTTAAAGCTATCACTAGAATTCCAATTGGAAGCCAGCTGATAAAAGTTGTAATCCAGTAATATCTCTGCTTACCATCCTTTCCTCTATAATTGTGCCTTTAAAGTTAAATAGTTGGCCATTATTTCAAAGTTTTGGGAGGTCTTCCTTACGCAACAGGTTTTATTTTCCCAATAAGTTTTATCTTTTTGAGAAAATGATTGCCACTGTCTATAATAACAACATCCAGTAAAAGCTACAATGATGCCAGGCACAACATGGCTTCACACACAAATGATGTGAATTGTATAGTTTGCATAGTGGCATAATTATGTGCATAATTATGGTATCTCTTAACTCCCCTACCCCTATACCTTGGCAAATCTACTTCCAATTATCTATTAAAGCTAAATACAAGTGATACTTTCTCAGCTATTTATCACAGCTATGTACTTTTCTTGTGGTTTCATAAATTGGGCAGGATTTTTATAACTAAAAGAGTATCTTTATTGATATCTTCTTGGTTTACTACTCAGGTTTATTTAAATGCAATATCTTTGGCCAAAGGAGAGTGCAACCATTTCATGTTTGATCACCAGCATCTCAGAGGCAGTGGTTCAAAGTCGTAGTGGTGAGAAATGTAATATTTCATCAGATTTCATCAGCACTGTTAAGGGCAATACCACTGTCCATTCATCAGGAGTGTCTTTACATGCTGGTAATCCCCCGCTATGTCACCAAATAAATAATAATTAGTTAACCCATCTGATTCATTAATAATTGGTAGCATCCTACAAAAGACCACTTCCCTAGCAATGGATCACTTTGCTTCTGGTCTGAATTGTTTTTATTATGTCTCGTGTTCTTAATCCCAACTTAACTCAAAATTAGAGACCAAATTGGCTTAAAAGAGTGTTAATTTGAATTTTTAAACCTTAAGAGAGAGAAGGTAGGCATTAACACTGCATTGCTTGACTTCAAGTATCTTAGAAATATTTACTATTGTATTTAGCTCGCTTGATCCATAACTGGATAGATGATTTTTTTTATTTTGTAAATACGGTTTCAGTGAAGTGTAAATAGCTTGGATAGAACTTCACAGTAATTGTTCAATTCTTTAGAACAATCTCCACTTCTGCTGGAGCCATTTAATTTTTAAAGCTTTCTTGATTTCTGAGATGTTAATGTCATAATTTTCTAAATTATGGTGTTGCCTGAGTATATTTTGTCTCATTATCTGTTGCTGTTTTAAAATGTGTGCTTCTAATATTGCCTTCAATATTCTCAGGGGATCTAAAATTACTTAATCCATAAAAAGATAACCATCTATTTGTTTTGCAATGCCTAATGTATTTTTCTTCAGGAAGTACTGCCCAACTAAATTAGAGTTTTGGGATATAAAATACGTGTTCCACTCCAAAGTATTTAGAAAATTGGTTGATTTAAAAAATTCTGCCTGGGAAGGAACCTATAGTAAAGTAACATTATACAAAATTTAGGAAAGGAAATTCAACTGTGGTTTCAGTTTGCATTAGAGTGGATTCCGATTTTTTTTGTGTGTGCACACCAAAAAGGCTCAACACATCTGATCCCTAGGAAGAGAAATCCAAAGAAACATTTGAGTGGGTTTTTTTCTCCTCAAGATCAATCTTGAAATAAATATCTGAACTGCTGCAGATAACAGTAGAACTGGAGATTATCGAGTTTTGGAGTTGGAAAAAAGTTTGCGCTTTTGAAAATATGCTAAAGTTTTAAAAGATATGCTAAAGGTTTGTTTTGTGACATTTCCATTATGAAAATTGGAATGTTGAAGGATACGGCAGGCTGATCATTGGCAGGCTGTTCAATGAAATGAACAAGGATACTCAATTTAGAATATATGTCTTTTATATTGGATTCTTTGCAGTTGTTAGCATTGTCTCCAACATTACTATATGAACAACATTTTAGAGACCTCCTTTATTAAATCATAGATAAATTGAGCCTTATTCTTTTACTGTATTTCACATATGGGAATATAACTTTTTATGGTTTGTCTCAGTGCAGAGAAATGGATTTGGTTAAAAATAGATTGTCAGTATATTCTTATAGCTTAATATAAATATATTTATAGACATCAGCACTCATAGAAATGTTAATAATATGCTCCAGATACAGCTAAAATATACTTTCCCTTCTTATGCAATCAGAAGCATTTTCCTCAATCTTGGGTACAACTCTGAGGTTCAATTTATGTTTTCCAATTTTATCTGAACTGAAAAAAAAGAGGAAAACCCACACATACTTTATTTGGTTTTTGGTCTCGGTAAAGTGAAGGTCAAAAAATATTTCATAACTTTGTAAGATACATATTCCATTCCATTTAAAAAAGAACTAAAATAAAGAGTTATCCTTCCATCTAGTGCAAGTTGTAAAATTCTTGCAATTAGCAAGAAAAGAAAAGGGTTAGCTAGGGACTGGTGAGTTGTAGAAATGTTCTTTTTCCACTCCCTCTCCCCTTTCCTCCCCTGGCCCACTCTAGTACCTCCACATGATCTGCTGAGTTAATGATCCCTTTCTTGTTGATTCTCTAGAGAGCCTCTGTACTAGGGGCATTGATTAGAAACAGTCTGGTAGGATTATACCTTTTCTGTTGTTATGCCAACAAATCAGCTGATTTGGGTTGCCACAGAAACAGAATGTCAGAGCTCACAGTGCAGGAATGTGAATTCAGCACAATTGGAAATGTTTTCTTAATTGGAGACCTTTTTCATTTTGGATTTTATGGGGAAGGCAGCTGGCAGGGGTAGCTAGGGAGGAGAGCTTCAAATAAGATTTTGCCTTAATTGATTAGTAAGTAAGTTTAGGATTGGTTTTGTTTTTCTACAAATTGGAAGGGGGAATGTCTTTTTAAAGACTGTGCTGTAATCTGGGGGTTGCTGTTGCTCAGCTTTTCCTAAAGAAGGATGTTCAAGAATCGAGATGCAAATTCTGGTGTTAATGGAGGTGGATTTCAGTGGATATGATCCACCATTGGTTTTACTAGGAAGAGGTGAATATTTACATCAAACTCTCAGTATTTGTACAAGGACTAGTCACTAGAACCACTACAAACGGATCTGAGCTGCAAAACCACTACCAGCCACTAGAGAACAGTAGAAACATGCAGAAGACTCTCTGCTGTTCTCCAATGGTCCCTTTAACAAAATTTCATAGCCTTTAATCTGGACATTTCAGATTTACCCACATCACAGGATATCCACATGAAAGGGTTAAAAAAAATCAAAATGTTGGCCATAACCATGCGGTCAAAACCTTGCCTTCTGTTGGAAGAAATGTCCATCTGGGTTTAGATTTAGATTTACTTTATTGTCATTGTACATATATATACAGTATACCCATACAATGAAATTCACATAACACCCAGAGACCAGGCGCAACACACATGAAAATCCCCAAACACCCTCCAAAAATTCCCCACCCCTAAACCACCCAAGCATCCATACAACAGACCAATTAATGCTGTCCAACAGCTCACTGATGGTGACCTTTAGTTCATTGTTGAGTGCAATAATAGCTCTAGGACAGTGATGGGCAACCTTTTTGGCGTGGTGTGTCAAAAATCGGCAAAAAATCGAGCATAACTCGCGTTGTGTGTCACTTCGACAAAAACATAATTTTGCGCAATTTATAGTTTAAACTACAAAAATGTATAATGGCGCTCACAGTTCCCGTTGGCACTCCGCTGTTCCCNCTGAAGTGATCACCTACATATTAAATATGTAACATGTATTTAGTATTTTCTTCATTTAAGATGCTTCTCATGAGGGAAATAGTTTCTAACTTTAAAAACACTCATCTTGGGAGTAGGTTGGAAATGTGTTGGTTTTTTCAAAAGCACAAAAG